GAAACTGTTATTCCATTGGCTCGTGGATCTAGCCCCCTCGTGCCTTCCCCTTTTCCGACGTGCATCCTCGCCTATAGTCAGATTCGCCTTAACTGCCTCGATTCCTGCCACTGGGACAACACCTCTGCCACTGTCTGCGAACAAACAGGAAGCAAATCAGAAGAACGATCGATTAGGTACCATCGCTAATTTCTTGCACTCTCGGGGACGATAATTCCCGCAATTTCACCCTCGTTCGATTAAGATTTACTTCGTCGATCATTCGCTCGTTGGTCGAAGAAGTCGAGGGAAAATTGGCTCGATAAAATCGTCCGCGAGACGACAGGGGCCCAGGATTCGTTCTCTGCTTTCCAGCCAGGCATGAAAACGGACCGAGCAGGCATAATCGAATGATGTAAGGCCCTAATAAAATCGTAAGTCGGTTGACAGGCGGTGCACGTAGCGCGGAATAATGGGCCAGACATTCCTCCCCCGTAGACGAGGGGGTTGGTTCGCATTGTCGTTCGTTCCCTTACGTAAGAATGGCGACGAAGAAACGACGCGGAGGCAGATGCCGTTTAGACGGTCTCCTGCCTCGTGTGATACCTTGGACGAGGATGGAACGAGACTTAATGCGATCTTGCGAAGCTGCTGCGACGCAGCCAGGTAAATCGGGAGCAGAGATCTCTTTCGAGACGTCTCTCGTCGACGTTCTGTGGGAAGTCTCTTCGAGATCTCATTGAAAGAATATTCCTCCCCCTTCTCGATCACCGAGTGATCCTAAATACCGATCAATCGCGCGTGTGTCATTAGATGAAAATTCTCCGAATACGATTTAACGAGACTACAAAGTCCCCGATGGGGGTACAGATAGGGGTACAGGGTAATTGCGAAGGAGTTAGTTCGGATTCGTCAAAGTGGCCGTCACGAATCGCGGAAACAAATCAACCGCGAGACTGGGAAAGGATAAAAGAGACGAGGAAGAAGGTAGAAAGCCGAGTTTCGTGTAAATTGAGCAAAAGAAGGCCCCGCGATGGAGAGAGGTCCGATTGGAGGGCGGAGCAGCGGCCGGAGGGGCGCGGGACGCACCGGGAACGAGGGATGCAACCGCGAAATCGGGTAGAGCCGTGAAAATAACGATTTCTCCTTTGTGGTGCCGTTCGTTAAACCGAGAAGAGCCGGTTTCACGAGCGCGAACGAGCACAAGAGGGAGACAGCTACAGGGCGGTGATCGCGGCGGAGGAAGCAAGAGGGTGGTTCGTGCATGGGTGTTCGTGACTCGTCGATATTTTTCCTCAACACCGAAAGAATCGATATTTTATGTAGATCGCGAGAAAAGGGCAACGTGCCCTTCGTCGTCGCTGGGCTATTCTCGCCTGAACGGACAAAAACATCGGCTGATCCCACGCGAGACGAACGAACGGCGAGGCGAAAGGGAAAGGGAGGTAGCCGGGATGGCGAAAGCTTTGTTGCACGACAGAATTCATCGAGAAAATGGAACTTCTCCTTTCGTGGCGATTGTTGCGTCGCGGGTGGAGAAAGCCGGCGTTATTCATCCGGTGCATTCCGTTCTATCAGATAGAAATATTCAACGCGTTACCGCGCCACCTCTAGGGAATTTTACGCCTCTCGTGACTCGATCTTCGCGTCTCTTCGAGTCGTTATTGGAATTTAATTATAAATCTTCCGGGATAAATACCTTTTCCAAGTTGCTACGCGTCATTACCTGTCAATCGTACCACTGGATGCATCCAAGTAATCACCACCCCCCGAAGAGTCACCACCCGCCAGAGTCGCAATAATATTTCGACACCCGTCACTTGCGCATCGAGAATATTTCCTGGAAATCCCCTAATCCACTAGAAGTGGTTCGATGGTATCCCTTGGAGGAGCAACCGTGTTCGCAAGGCCGCCCAGCATCCGAATGGTCCAGCTCAGGTGTCTCATTGTGCCATTTTATCACCTGACGTACGTGACGCGCTCGACGTTTCCCCGAATCTGGACTTTGCTACTCGAAGGTCAGGTCAGCGTCCGGTTTTCCCTGCATCGGTGGAAAAAGGAAGCGAGGGAGAGTATCGACTAGTCGAAGGTCGTTGGCAGAGTCCAGCTGCAGCCTCTTGGCAGAATGTATTCTGTTGCGTGTGCGTGTAGGTCGATCCGCGTGGAAACGTGGGTGGGTGATGGATAGACGGTCACCGTGTCACTCGTGCGAACGTTAAACGGGCCTCAATGGCTCGAAATTGCATGGGCACCGGCATTGTGACCAGCCCCACTTCCAACGACACCTAGAATCGCCTCGGTGTATGCAGATGCGGGACAAAGAGGCGTCGGAGACTCGAGATAGGATCTCGCTCCCAGAATTTTTACGAACGCAGCTGGTTGGTCGTTAATTTGTTATTTAGGGTTGCCGAGGGTTGTTCAAAATCCATCTTAATTGTAATCGTTCACAATTTTTGATATCGAGATATTACGGACGTATGTTCATTCGATTGTTCGATTGTACGATCGATCTCTTAACGATGAATAACAATTTTTTTTTACAAAGTTTCCAGTGCATTTGGGATCTTTCTCTTGCCCTCGTCAGAAGATCTTCCTTCGCAAACGTTCCGCGCGAAAGTTCGTTAAAAAACCGTTGCTTCCAACGTTTCTTCCAGAAGCTTCGTCTCTCCTGCTCTTCCCAGTTCCACGGATTCGATCTGTCCTATTAGAAACTTCGCGGCACGTTCGTTGCTCTTTTTTCGAACGAGCAGACCTGCGAAAATCGTTCGGGAGAACACCAATCGCGTTGCAGTTAGAGGCGATAGTCGGGGAAGAAACCTGGGTGAAAAAGGGAAACGGTTGCGTTATCTAGGCATCCGTTGCTGGCTGAGTTCGCACCTGGTGTTCCGGGTAGACGTCGTCGATAAACGTTATTTTTTCCAACGAGAAGTCGCAGACACGACCATGAGAGCTGCGTGGAAAAGGGGTGGAAAAATAGGAACCGACGGAATTCACCCCAAAAATCCTTTCTCCCCTGCCTCTGCTTCTTTTCGTGGATGCTGGAAGGCCGCGGGAGCTTCTCACGGAGAAAAAAGCGTAATTTTCGATGAAAAGAGGGGAATCGACGATGCAAATTCAGGGGTGAAGAGGGAAACCGGCGTGTCCGTGTGCGTAAGCGTCGTGACACGACGGAAGGGAAGATGGAAGGCAGGGTGTAATCAGCCGCTGAGCGAGCACGAGGACGAGTAACTGAAATTTTATAGGGAATCCACCAATACCGGGGCTTTCTTGCTGTCTAAGGCTGTTCTACCTGACCTGTCGTCTCTCTTCTCCCGTTTTTTTCCACCGTTTCGGGGGAATCCACGTCAGGTATGAAGGGGAGGCACAGATGCGGAGGAGCAAAAATCGGGGCGAGCCTCGTGAAACTTTCGCGTCGAATTCACGGGATTCACGGGATTTTGAAATTTTTTCTTTTTTACCTTCTTTTCCCTGTCGACGAGCCCCGTTTCGTCCCACAGTAGCGAGCATCCCCACCTGCGACCCCGGCCTTTTTACGAGCGTTTCGCGAGCGTTTATCTCTATCCCTGGCCGCCTCTTCTCGGCCTTTGTCCCTCCACCGATGGGAAAGTTCGACGATCCAAGTGGCTAAACGACTTCCTTTCTTCGTTACCTTGGTTCACTGACCTTTCTTGTTCTCGCGGTCCAGATAGCCTCTCAGACGTCACCCCCGTTACGCGTAGCTGCCCACACATATACTCTTATTCAAAAACCCCAGTCTTTGCTACAATTTCACCGTATACCTATATTTCTATTTTCCTCGAGTTCATTTCCTTACTTCGTCGAGTAAAGAAACGAATAAAACGTTTCAAAAGTAACATCCGAATCCGCGTCGAACGGGAGGCTTTAATCCCCGCAAATTCGCGCCAGCGATCGGTCGCCATGCCTGGAAACCCCTTTGGAAAATGAGAATCGGCCACCGTGCCCTGGCGTATCGAAATAATTATTATTAAAAACCGTTAGAGTGACGCGGGACCAATGGCGACGCGTAAGCTCGTTTTCTCGAACCGAACGAATCGGTTCCGTGCCATTATCCGGCGCGTACCCCTTTTTCGGGGGGCGCGTAGCAGCGAAAGAAGAAGGAAAGGGTGGCGAGGGAGGCTAGTCACAAGATACGATGATGGATGCTCGAAGGGTTGTTTCGCGCGATGGAGGGAGAGGAATGGGCCAAAGGGTTCTCCAGGGTGGCCAATCGTACGCGAACTTCGAATACCCACGACCAATCATCGAGGTCCTTCCGGCCACGTGGTGGTGGGGAGGATTGGTTCGTCCTTAGGGGCACGATTTCGTTGCGTCATTCTGACATTCGTTCTGTATCGGTCCTTGGATGAGGATCGCTGGCTTTCGCGTGACTTTCGGGCTCCCTGCTGGCTGTCCTTGAACGCTTCATTTAAATATCCGCTTCGATCGGTGCCGGCGCGAAGGGTGTTAATTATTCCTGCCGCTAATTTCTCCCTCTATCGAGAAACGACGTCGTGGCTAAGGCAACTCGATCCCTCCGATCGATTCTATCGTTTCTATCGATCGTTCCCGATAAGTGCGGTGACTCTCCATCGCGATGCGGAAAGGGTGGCTCGCGGAGAGAGGAAGATAGTTGATCCTCCAGAGTCGATCGGAGCTCACGGTCATTGACCGTCGTGCTGGATCTTGGCACCTACCCCGATGTGACCGCGATCGGGCCACGGGGTTCCTCGAGGGCAAACGAGGCTAAGATGGTCTTCCTGGAAGACCCCAGGATGATCTTTGCGGACATGCGACTTCATGCGACCAGCACGCCGACTTCCACCCCCACGCGTTACCATCATCGGAAGTACAGGCCGCAGAACAACAACGACTGTACGAACTCACTGAACTTCGAAGAATTTCAGTTTCAATTTGGAATTCCACTGAGAATGGGACAGAGATCCCTATCGCGTCGAATGTCACGCCCAGTTGGATAGACAACGAAACGGTAATTAATCATGGATCTTTTCCGTTTCTTGCAGATGCAGACCTTCACGGCGAGGTGGACGGACCCGAACTCAGCGGCGACGACAGGAGTATCACCAGTGATATCCAAGATACGACCGAGGCGAACCTTGACCATGATTCCATGGACTCGGATAGGGAAGCTCTCAATCTGGTTAGTATACCTCTTCCCTTCGTCTTTTTACTTTCGTTTACTACGAGTCGGGGATAAATCCTGATCCGAAGGTAATATCGAGGATCGCAACTTCCGGTGATGCTTCCGTTCCTTGAGAAACTTCCTCCGCTGCGAAGTGACGACGAAGACACGACGCTTAAAAAACGACGCTTTGCAGTCGTGCGCGAAGGGCGCAAAAAGTGCTCCCGTTCAATATTTGGCAAATAAATAAAGGAAGCCACTAGCGTGATGGACGACAGGAAGGACGGGCGGGGATGGGGTGTAGGTTTTATAAAACACAAAAGCATGGGACGGACCGTAGTGACCAATATCCTGACCTGGTCGAGTGTAAACACGGCTTTGTTCGACGGCGTTTACTCTGTAACATTAGGGAGGGTGGCTCTGCCGCGATTCCTCGGATTTCTTCTCCCACGTAATTCCATGAAAATCGATTCTTTTTCTCGAACGCGATCGCCGTGTCAAAACGCGTGTTCCGAACCGTTCGCGTTCCTAGCATCTGAAAATGGCGGTCGACGACTCGTCGATACCTCGATGCTGAGTATCTTCTGTTCGACGAAGACTAGCTTCCGTTGACTTGAATGCATCGCAATTTGCAATTTTCTCGGTCCTCGATTAGTTTTCACAACGGACGAAATTCTCAACAGAACTATACACTTCAGGTCACAGCCGTGTCGTACCGCAACAGCAGCAGCGGTACCAGCGGCAGCGCCTCTTCGCCCAGTTCGGGGGTGAGCAGCCAGATAACCGGAAGTCATCAGCAGCAGCAACACACGGCAGGCCAGCAGAACAGCGGCAACTCGCAAGCTGCACTGGCTGCTCAACTAGTCAGCCAGCAGTTGCTGATGCACGGTTCTCTGGGCGCGCTTGGGCCGCAGGACATCCAGGCGTTGGCTTCCTCGTTTCAGCAGCAACAACAGTCGCTGCAGCAACAGTTGCAGCAACTGGCAATGTTTCAACAAGCCAACTCTGCCGCCGCGGGTCAACTTCCGGCACAGGCGCAGTTCTTCTTGCAGAACCAGGTTTGTCGAGTCTTCCACGTTCCGCGTTTATCAACTTGTCGCTGAATCGCGGGAGGAAAATTTTGTTGCTGGGATATTCGAGGAGGATCCGCGAATACGCGTTCTTTGCTTCTTTATTGGAGATCGGAATCCCGTCGAATTAACCTCTTGGCGATAGACCGACTGATCCGAGGCTAGGCTCAGAGTTATCGGAATTTCTCGAGCATCCCGTTAAACGTGGAGCGTTCGAAATGAAGCGGGGAAGACGGTGTATAGGAAGCAAATGCGTCTCGAATCGGAGATCGATCTCCTGCCCAGCAGCAGAATCCTCTTTTCCCTCGTAAGACACAAAGCTTGTCGGGAGATCGGACGCGTTTCGTATCTCTGGCCAAAGGAATTACGCCGGGAGCGCGAACAAATGCATCCCGAGCACTCGAATTCCGACGCCATTGTTCTTCGGGCATCGGGTACTCCACCGAATTACCTACTCGATGCGAATTCGATTCGAATCGCGGCGGGACCTGGCTTGGCCGAGGTAGATGAGCGCGAGTCCAAAGACGACGTTCCACGCGGTATCTGATCGACCAGCCGAAAAGAAGTAGACGTCTTATTCTTCGGGGACGGTTCGCTCGATTTCACGCGGAGATAGCCGGCTGGAGATGTCACAAAGGGACAGGGTTTCTACTCGTTTGGTCTCGCGTTTTCTTCCCGCGACGTATCCTCGGAAAAGCTTCCATGGAGAACGCGATCGTTCAGCAATCGAATAATTAGAATCCGACCACTGGGTCGTACCCGGCCCAACCTTACCCGACCTTCACGCAATTCTCAGGATAAACGAATTTTTCCACGAATCTTTCGAAAACACACGCTGTCTATTTTACCGCTTTTAAAAAAGCGAACGATCGATCTCTCGTTGCGCGGAGAGAAAAAATCCGGGGCAAATACATTCATCACCTGCACCCTGGCAAAGAAGCTTCCCCGAATATCGCTGGTTTTGTGCGTTTTGTCCCGATAGATCCACCGGATCGAAGTAAGAAAAATCGATATATCCGGGGATAGGATGAAAAACGATCCCTCTTCCTGGATCTCGACGAACGATTTCACCCCCTCCATCGAGCGAGGAGCTGAATGGGGCCCGGGGTCTGCGAGTTTACGAAAAAATTTCTATAGATTCCGTCACGTGAAGCGCGTGCACGTCCTACGTAACCTCCTGGAAAAACTAACAAAACGACTTCGAACTTGAGCAGATTTAATGGCCGTGCTATGTAGCAGCGAGGATTAAAGCCGGGTCTTCCGTGTCTCCTTTGAAAGGTGCAACAAGGAGAGCCGTCGGCCCCTTCGGCACCTTGCCACGGGGTGCCTTTTGTTACCTCACACGTGGCCAGGCTGTTTCTTTTCTCGTCCCGAGTCCCACCACCCCTCTCTCTTCGCTATCTCCCCCCACCCATCGTCGTCTTTTTCTTCGTTTATATCGAATCGAGCAACCCCCCCGGATTTTTTTTCCCTTTTGTGACCAGTCGCGGGATTAGGAACGCAGACGCGCGTCCTCGATCGCGCAACCCTTCCACGAGTGGGTCGCAACCTGCGTCGACTGTATAATAACCCTTTTCGAGGGTTTCACGCGAGACGTAAGAGCATCATCTCGTCTGTAACGCGGATTTAATTCCCTCGGAGCGTGTCTCGGGCGACCAGCTGACACGTAACGTCTCAAGTTGTATCGTTTAACGCGGGGATCCACGGGGACGTCCGTTTTCCACGCGAATCTATTCGCTTTCCAAAAGTTCTTATCACCGGTTACGATCGAGTAGGTTAACCATGCGTCGCGATTATCGCTGCGCTCGTATCACTTTCACCGTCTTCGCTTCGCGTATAACGTTACCTGGAGATACAGGAAATAACGCGGTGCCAGTCATGCTTTCTACTTTTTATATTCCGGCGAATTTGAATGAATGTTATTTAAACCGCGCGCACAGGTGAACCTTAGATCGTGGAACCTGCGCGATGCCACGTGGCGGTATTCTAAGCACCCTTCGCAGGGTGTCTTCGCGGTCGACAATAAGCATAAACGGGCCCGACACGCGACCAGTCCCAAACCCTTTTGCTCCCCGGGCGAATCGTTTCGCACGAGCCCCTTATTCTCGTAATCGAGCATCTGGTTAAGAAAAGGGTGAAGATAATCGATCGGTCCGGCCGCCCCTTCGGCGACTCCTCTCGTACCTGTCCACGGGCGCAACACGTGTCGCCTTTCGAATAGAAACCGCTTAATCCACCGTCGCGTGGAACAGCTTGGTTTAACGTGTACCATTTATCTCCAAGCAGGGGTTGAAAGATGGTCGAGCTCGATAAACGATGGGATTTTTGAACGGCGCGGTTTCAGGAAATTTCGAAAGCTTTCTCGAAACGTAGAAATAGTTGTGTGAAATCGAGATATGTTAAGAGTTGTAAATCGTAGACAACGGACGATAAATGTAATAGTTAGTAGCGGAAGGAAACGTATGCGATATGTTCGATCAATGGTGGTCAACGTCTTGCAGGGGCTGTTGCAGGGCGATGGCTACTCCTCAAGATCCAGTCATCCGCGCTCACAGTCCATGCAGGTACGACAGACCATTAAACCACATGCAGCAATCGGTGAAAAAGAAAAGAGACCATTAATTCTATACGTTTCGTTGGTTGTGCACGAGGAATAAAAGAAACTTGCACGATCTGTCGTCAGATGCAGCAGGCAGTGGCGCAGGCAGCCCAGCAACTGCAGGCTCTGCAGAAGCAGCAGGCTCTTCAGGGCAGCGGAGGCCTAGTTGGTCGAAGTTTGGCGCAACAAAGGTCACCGCCGCCTCCTGGCACGCCTCCGGCGGTGAAACCACCGCCTCCAAGGTTGGAACCGTCGCCGGAAGAGACCACGGACCTCGAGGAACTGGAGCAGTTCGCCAAGACCTTCAAACAGAGGCGGATCAAACTTGGTTTCACTCAGGGCGACGTTGGCCTCGCCATGGGCAAACTGTACGGCAATGATTTCTCTCAGACGACCATCTCCAGGTTCGTATTATTCGTAATTGCTAGCCGAGACGGGGAAGCAAACTGTTCCATTGCTATTTTACGACTAGTCGATTGTTTCGTTTCGCCCGTCAGGTTCGAAGCGTTGAATCTTTCCTTCAAAAACATGTGCAAGCTGAAGCCACTGCTTCAAAAATGGCTAGAGGACGCGGATAATTCCCTCAACAACCCCAACTCCCTCTCGAACCCGCTCACCACGCCGGAAGCGATCGGCAGGCGGCGGAAGAAGAGGACGTCGATAGAAACCAGCGTGCGAGTAGCTCTGGAAAAAGCGTTCGTGCAAAACCCGAAACCCACTTCGGAAGAAATCACCATATTAGCGGACAGTTTAGCCATGGAAAAGGAAGTCGTTCGGGTGTGGTTTTGCAATAGGTGAGCCTCGAAGACCAATTTTATCTCTCCGATTTCCTCAACGCGGTACACTTAACCGGCCTGTTCTTGCCCATTGCAGACGACAAAAAGAGAAAAGGATCAATCCGCCAACAGCAGCGATGGGCAGTCCTACGATGGCGTCACCGGCACCTTCCGTCTTCGCGTCACTCGCGAGTTCCATGTCCGGCAGTCCTCTAGCGCTCACCACGCACTCTTCCGGCATGGCTCACTCTCATCCGCACCCCACGCCCCTCGGTTCGCCGTTACCCTTGGCCCTGGTGGCGTCAGCAGGTGGAAACTATCATCCGCTGAGCGGCAAGTCTCACGAGTGACACCAGCAGCCGACCCATCAGGGGGACACGCTTTTTCATCAGCATCATCAACAGCCACCGCATCAGCAGCAACAGCAACGACGTTTGTGCAATCTACCCGAGTTCTATCACTAATCCGCCGGCTGGTTTATCGCTGGCGATGATTCAGTGACGACTTGGCGGACGCCCGTCAACGAATTTCGTTGCCAAAGGGAATTTGGCGCGGTGGAACCGACGGGGTCGAGCAATACACGGCCATGGGAGCGGAGCAGAGGCTGAGAACAGCTGGCTGGCGGCACGATACGATTCGAAACATATCCTGGTGTCGAGAGATTCCACTTGGAAGAGGCTAGTTCGGGAATCGAAGCAATCTCTTGGATGGCAATGATCAATCGCTTGGAGAGAAGAGGAACATTTGGCGAACGAGGAAATATCATTGGTTTCTTCTGTATCATTCGGAGCAAGGTATAACTATCTCGCGAAGAGCATACGAACCGCGAACCGACGTTGAGGAGGCAGATCGAACATGAAACGCCGACGAGAGCTCTTCGATGATCGCTTAAAAGCTCAGCTAGGACATTCAGTATCGCCCAAAGACAGCGAACGGAGATTCGCTGAACATCGCGTTTCGTTCAACGTTTCGTATTTTTCACAGTATTATGTTCATCTGCGGTTTGGAGCGCCGATTCGAATGATCGAAATCGCACGGAACGGAGTCTTCGAAGCTCGTAAAGATTATCGCGCTTACTGTTTCGCAAAAACCACAGGAGCCTTTAATTTTTTCCAACAACCAACCTGTCATATGTCATTGCGAAAACGTCAAGAAGCCACGGCTTAGATTTTCGGCTGAATTTTCACCGATCGAGGTTTGCGACAGAACGAAACGACTTTGAGGTCTTCATTCCCGCATAGCAAATAGTGCAGGATCGTTGCCACCGTTCAACATTTATTTACAAGATGCAATTAACCACACGAATACACCCGACCGCGAACCGTCATAAAACAGGCCCTTAATCGGTTTCTGCAGCTTGTCATTTGAATTATCATGAAATATTTATCAAGGGGGCAACCGTTCGACGATACGTGTAATTATCGACTGGTTTTCCTCCGCGTCCTTCGAGTTTCCTTTTGCCCATCCAGTAATTCAACGTCGCTTCGATCACGCACTACATTTTGCGTACGCTGTTTCACGATTTCGAGGATTAGGCTGAACTTCTCGAAATCGTGAAACCAGCAACCGAGAGCAAGATGGCGTACGAAATTCTCTCGAGTATTCGTGTAACGAATCACGGCTGAACGCGCGATCGGAGACCACAACGAACAACGAGAGAACACGTTGATGGAACGATAAACCTTCCGGCCGTTTCGCTGAGTTCATCGTGTCGCGATCGAGACGGTTCCTTCGAAGAGGGCGAACGCTCTTCGCAGGTGCTCGCCTCTTCGTGGTAAGCAGGGTTTACGCGCCACCCTCGAGGGAATGTTCGTTTCCTCCAGGTCGAGAGCTCGCCCGTCGTTGACAGAAAATAGGAAAAACTTCGTAGAAATTCGAGTATTCACTGCCACCGAGAACGTGCTTAAACTTCGTGAACCGAATGAAACCGATTCCGATTGCTAGCAATGGAAATCGATCGGTAGTTTAGGCTTTATGGAAACGACCATTCGCTTAGTATCATCGAGTATCATCGTTGCAGAGATCGGACGAGCTGTCGATCTTCGAGTTTAAAACTCTCCCTTGTCGGTGGCGAACATGCGGCGAGGTCCGACAATACGTTTGTACATAATAACGCATGCGTTTGCGTGTCTGTCGTCATACATATCCGTGTCCTGAATTTGTACATATAGGCAAAAGAGAACGTACGAGCGTAATTAATAAAGTTGTAAGGGAGAATCGACGGGAATACGAGAGGGGTGGCTCGTTCATCCTCGCAAATGAAGTCCTCGTCCGAGTGTTGGACGATCGATCTTCGATAAATCGTAATTACTCAAGCCAAAGTATCGTCACGTTTAATCGTCGAATGCGTGACACCTAAATAAAGTAGAGGAAGGTAACGAAAGATGGACTCCGAAGAGGGTGGACGAGAGGGCGTGCTCGTATTCTCTGTCCCTTGGACAGACACGAGGATTAGCAGTTGTAGATACGTCTGTACGTGTACATACGTTATATATAGGCAGACTACTGGCGAATTATTCCACATACGTAGCTCGTATACGTTTACGCGAGTCGATCGGTGTGCGCTCGTGGCCCGAGGGTTCGCGCTGCCGCCATTTTCGCGATCGAAGAGTCGCTCGCGAAGCAAATGGCGTTCATTCGGAGCGCGAACTCTCACCTTGGAGCCCAGAAATCGATACCTCGAGGTGGTGATCTCCCGGTGATTAATTAAGGGCTATGATCTTGCGCGACAAAGGGATGAAACAAATGGTGATTACATCGGTAATAGTCTTTGAAGGGATTTACACGCGTAGAGTGTTTGTAATCGTAATCGCCGTACGTTAAGAATCGTCGATGTTATGTTATTTGTGTGTATGCGTGTGTGTATAAGCACATACGTGGCGGGGAAAACGCAGACGTTGCGCGAAAGGCGAGCATCGGGGATATACATATGCATGTATAAATATACATACTATACATAAATGTATAAAGTAAACGTGTTGTAAATAATAGGGAGAATCGATAGGAAATCGGCGATCGACGAATCCGCGGCGGATTTATCCACCGTGCAGATCGTTTCTTATTATTGCGACGCTTATTATTAAGTAATCCTTAATTGTAGGATATCATTGGGCAACGCTGTCGCAGATCGTAAGTTCGAGAGATGTGAACACGTCGAGTACGCCTCGCCTGTGTAACGTCGTTGAGCAAACATGGCGACATTCACGCCTTATTTTTCCATACGTCAATTACTTCTCACCTACACTCACTGACAAAAGTTAAGGAACAACGTAATCATTTGGGAATTTCGGTGTATTCTCTATCTTCTAAGATATATAGATTAAAACCAAATATAGCATAATAAAATAACATTCCATGCATGTAAATAAACAATGAGTTTTGTTCGAACATACTTGTGCTGCGTGACATAAGTTAGGAAACATACATTGTTTAATTTATATAACACTTGGATTTGAAGACTGTCGGTATTTCTGACACGGTACCTGCCTTGCTATGAATGTTTTCCAGACCTAGTTAATTTTTAATTGCAATTCGTTGATTTGTAATTAAACGATCTAGCTTTTCAGTTGTTTATCGTGGCCTGTCAGATCGTGGTGCTGTTTTAACAGTTCCATGTTCGTCGAATCGTGCAACGATTCACACTGTACACTTATGTCAATTATTTTCTTGCCCTTAAACGTTTTAACTACTGTCAGCATTTTAGCGTCTGTCAAATGTTGCCTTCTTGTCGTATTTAATACAAATTGTAATATGAACTAGACTCAACGATGTCAGAAAGGGAACCAAGTGCTTTGGAATATGTTTGCTTACATTGTAACCTTAACTTATTGTGAGACTTTGTATGTTTTTTGACATATGACATTCGATTCAATTTAATTGTGGTCCTTGCAAACGTATGTTCGAAAAAGAAACTGTTTACTGATGTATGGAATGTTATCTTATTATGCCATTTTCAGTTTCAGCCTATGTATCATAGAAGATAGAGAAGTTGTTAACTTTTATGAGTAAGTGTATATCGATCGATGGTGAAATAATGATTATAAAGATGTGCTATGATAAGGAATTGAAAACTCACTGTTTCTTTTAAGTGCTGATAAACAGCGATAACCGTAACACTTATACGATATTAATTACTAAACACGATATTCCTGATTATGATGTTTATTTCTGATGAACTCGATTTCTCAATCCCTCGTTCTTACGATCGGCTACGTCAGCGAGTTAAGTCGGTGTACATTTGGTGCAACAGTTTTTTTTTCCCCATTTTATATATATATATACATATATAACGTCGAGCGTGCGTTAACCGAAAATGTATATGCGTACCACGACGTATGTATATATATGTATATATATAATTGATATTATATTATATGTAATTTTCTACGGATGCACGTCGACGCGACGCGATATATCAAAATACGTTTTCGATATTCTGATACATGGCGGTCGCGCGATTATATATAATATAATACAACATGTGCATGTATGTATGTATGTATGTATGTATGTATGTATGTATGTATGTATGTAAACGCGTACGAGACGAGATCTCATATCGATCACGCGCGTCCTTTCGTTCTTAGATCACTCGACACTCAAACACCTATACACGCAGATACACACATACGCAGGCCAACAAGTAGACTCACTATCATTCCCCATTTTTCCACATAACCGCCCCATAATTCTTCTAAACTTCGAGTTTCCATCCCTTCGGTCGATTCTTTACTTCGTTTTACTTCGAACCATTAACTCCCAGAGTCGTGGACCAAGTTGTAGCGAAACAAATGTGCGAATGAGGAAGAGAGAGAGAACGAGAGAGAGAGAGAAAGATAGAGAGAGAGAGAGAGAGCGAGAGAGCGAGAGAGCGGGAGAGAATTTCGCGAAGAGAGATACAAAAAAAAGAGTTCCTAGATCGCACCAGTACCGAGTGCGTTATGTAGACGTTTTATAAATTAAACACGGTGAACGGGTGTGCAAACGATAGAAACGGGAGAGAAGTCGATAACGAGGAGAACGTGATTCAAATGTCGGAGCGGATGAACGGAGAAAGGGAGTGCGAATGAGAGAGTGTAAGTAAGGGACACATTTTCGTTTTCCTTATTTTCTTTCGTTTTCCCTTCGTCCTCTTCACGTTCGTCGGAGGTGTACAGTGTTTTTTTTGTAGATAGAAGAAAGAAAATTAGAATCGAAACCACGGTCCCCCCCCCCCACACCCTCTGATCGACGTGTCATTGGTTCATTCTTTTTCGTGGGCTTCGACAAACCGGCGCATTCCACGAGCGATAGACACATTATTACAGTGGTTATTATTATTATTATTATTATTAATTATTATTATTAATTATTATTATTATTAATTATTAATTATTATTATTATTATTAATTATTATT